GAGACTGGAGGAAGAGCTAAGGTCCTTTGGGTGAAGAAGAATGGGCCGAAGGGTGCATAGAGGGGAGGGAAAGCATCAAGTCATTGAGGTCCTTGGTTAGCCAGACTGAGGGTTTTAGCTTTTATGCAGAATGAAATGGGGGCCACTGGGAAGTTTTGAGCTGGAGAATCACAAAGTCTATCTCACCATATAAACAGATTACTCTGTCTGCTATGCTGAGAACAGGCTGAAGTGGGACATTCCTGTGATAGATGATGTTGGCTTGGGCCAGCGTGGAAACAACAGAGCTGGAGAGAACTATCAGGTTCTGGATCCTTTCAGTGGAGTCAAAAGATTTGTTAATGCTCTGGATTGGGGTATAGAAACGATTCACTAGTGATTCCCAGGCATTTGGCTTGAGCAACTGAAGGATGGGTTTGCCATGAAGTAAGAAGAGAAAGGCCTGATGATGAAGGCTGTGTGTGTGTGTGTGTGTGTGTGTGTGTGTGTGTGTCTGTGTAGGAATAAGAAGCCCAATTTGGAGTGTATTTAGTTTAAGATGCTTACTAACAAGCCAAGTGGACATGGTGACTAGGCAGAGGCAGTTGGAGATATATGTCCTCCATACAACAAAGCAGGAATGTTCTTGTCTTTCCCTCAAAACCTCATTTTTTTTTTTTTTGGGGGGGGGGGTTGTATGCTGTTTGAACTTGCTTACATGTACTTTGTTCTTGGCCTCCATTTTACCACTGATTGAACTGCATTGTATTTATTATTTTAGCTTTTCTGTGTTTCCCCCCTCCCCCACTATACTGTCCTACTATTCATCCTCAGCATAATGTCTGATACAAAATAATAAAAAGTTCATTGAATAATTGAAATCTGTGGGGCCATAATCTTCTATATTTAGTTGTTAAATTTCTTGACAGATGCTGCTTTTTTCTCTCCAACAAAAAGAGCTGTTTGGCACATATTGTTTTAATCAATGTGAATTAAATTCTATTTTTGTTGATGTGCTTTTTTTTCATATTCCCTTGGGCGTGCAATTTATCAAGCGTGAGTAATATCTGGCACACAGTCTCTAATAGCTTCCTTTTATTATTAGATCAATGGTAGTCTGAGTTATTGAGAAAGGAAATATCTAGAAAGACAATGCCCAATTCCTTGAAAATGGTGCTAAAGGGAAGACATGGCAGTATAAAACCATTAACCATGAAATTGCTTTGGGGCACTTGAATCCTCCTTTATGGAAACTTGGAATCATTCTTAAAGTACATTTTCAGCCAGTGGATGCATTTCATGTGTCTTTATTTAAGTGTTTGGCATATTTTACAAGACACATTAAGAAAAAACACCTCATTTTAACAAACACTTTTCCTTCACACTGCTCTACCTTTCCCAGCCCACCGATCCCTCTTGGCAGCCTAAACCAGTGAATAGCTATTTTTCCTATTTTTTCATACACTTGTCTAAGCACTAATATACATTTATATTTATATTTATATTTATATTTATGTTTATATTTATATTTATATTTATATTTATGTCTATCCTCTAAATAGGATCCTACTGCACAGTTCTTCATATCACATTATCTTCTTTCAGTAAAAATATTTTAATCATTTTAAACAATATCAAGTGTGCTAATACAGTTCAATATACTTTTTTCTTGTCAACAGCTCCATAACATTCCACTGTATAGATGGGCCATAATGTAATTAAAAATATCTTACTGTTGGGCATTGAGTGTTAGATGTTTAATATTGCAACAAAAAATTCTGCAATGAACAACTTTACCTATATATAAATATATATTATAGATACATAAGCATCAAGTTCCTGTAATATATCAATACATATATGGGTATATACACTTAGTGGCCAGATTATTATGATCTCTGAATGCATAATAATCTGGCCACTCAGTGTATATCCTATTTAATAAAAGGCTAATATGCAAATTGTCCTCTCAACTAGGAGTTTGACCAGCAGGCAGGCCAGCCAACCACCCATGTCCCTGCCCTCTGGTCAGGCTGGCCTGACCCGCACCCATGCACAAATTCATGCGCTGGGCCTCTAATATATATGTACTGAGTGGCAAGATTATTATGCATTCAGAGATCATAATAGTCTGGCCACTCAGTATATGTGTGTGTGTGTATATATATATATATATGTGCACAAAGTTGTTCATACATATATGAACATTTTTTGCAGGATGCTTTTCAAAAGCACATTTGCTGTTATAATTTTTGACATAGAATTGACAACTCTGAGAAATCCAGCGAGATAGACACCCTGGTGTCCACAAACACATGCTGTACAAAATTTAATCAAGACCCAGATTTTCATTATGGAAGCCTCATTAACCAAGCCACCTACACTCATTTTCGAGATTGCTGGCTGGCCGGAAAGCCAGCAGCAGATGTTGACCTTGCAAAGGTTAACTTAATGGAGTTGAATTTGATTCAGATTCAATCACTGCTTCCACGGCTGTTCTGGGGGCCAAGTAGTAGACCGTAGAGGTGATGTCATGGTGTTCCATTGCCTGGTTGCTGCTCAAGCATGACTCACACCTATGCCCTGAAAGACTCCATTGTCATTTCACTCCTGGGTGGAGCGGGGATTGGACTCACTCACTGACTCAGTCAACCAGCACACCCTCAACTATGCGATGGAACTGCCATGCGGGAACATTAACTCCTTCACACCCTCCTCTCCAGCAAGTCGGTATAGGTACATGGAGCCCCAATCCAGAATGGGTTTTGCTGGGTAGAATATAGCTTATTCTTGGGGTCCTCCATCCCTCCTCCCTCCTCCCTCCTCCCCTACCCCCACTCCTACTACCCAGTTCCCTAATGTCACTTTAAATTCAAAAGGGTCATTTAAGTTTAATTCAACAAGCATGGCATGAGTAATATTGTGACTAAATATTTCAGTTACATCTATGTGCTCAATTATAGCTGTATAATTTATCTGTAAATAAATCATTCCAGGGCAAGTGCAGCTTGAGCCTCAGTCCTTCCTGACAGGGAGATGGTGGTTCCCCAGCCGGAATGAGCAGGCTTCGTGTTGTGGTTGGGTTCCTGACCCTCTGCTAAAGCTCTACGCTTTCCTCGTTGCTTCCAGAGTTACTTCTTTGCAGGCTCTGTTGTTGACATGGTTATGAACGTTACAAGACAAATTCCCTTTGCCAATTCATGATCTTTTACTTCATTCCTTTACTTTCTCCTTCCTTTCAAGAAATGCTGCTGCTTCCCCCAAAATATTCCCTTTTCTCCTCGTCTTTCTTGGGGTGTCAGCATCTGCATTAAGTCACTGTCTTTGTCTATGTTTGTTCAGATCTTTCTATCTCTGCAGAATTTTGGGGGGGAACTAGCTCTTTTTGTAATGACAGAGGCTATTCTCTGCCAATTAGGAAACCTCGTTCATGGGTTAGGAAAGACTGGCTTCAGGAACAGTCATGAGGAAGACAGCTCCCTCCCCAACACACACACACACACACACACACACACACACACACACACACACACACATTTCTGCATCATAAAACCACTTGAAACGGGCAGAAAGTTCCCCTCATCATCTTCCCTCTTTTTTTTTTAAATAACAAGAGGGACTCATTACGGAGGTAGAGAAATCAGAATTAAAGGAGGGGGGAGAGGAGAAAGGACCCAACTGGGCTGACTCCACAGACTGAGATGGAGAGCAGCAGCACGTGGAGGGCTGGGGGAGCCTTTTTAAAAATAATAATAATAATAATATATCTTCATTGTTCAGATTATTACAGGTGTTCCTCTTTCCCCCCTCTTCCCTCTTTACCCTGCCCTGCATCCTCAGGCTGTCCTGAGGTTTGGGGTGTCAGCAGATGGGAGGGATGACGCAGACATGATTGAGCAGAAGCGGTGAAGCAGAAAGGAGGTATGTTTGTTCCATTATCTGGGTAGAATGTTGTTACAGGTGGGACTGGGACAAGAAGGCTATTCTGTTCCCTTGGTGAGGTGCTTATTCCGAGCCACATTTCCCAGTTTTAGCTTCTTCTCCGAAATCCTTCCCAATTGGTGAGTTAGAAGCAAAATGTGCCATCTGCAGGCACCATTTTTTATTCTACCCTCATCTCTTCATTCCATGCTTTGATGCGCAGCTTGTCAAGGAGACGTAGTGGCACAGACATGCTGTCTCTCAGCACTCGCTGGCTTTTTTTTTTTTTTTTTTTTTTTAAGATTTTATTGATTTTTTACAGAGAGGAAGGGAGAGGGATAGAGAGTTAGAAATATCGATGATGAGAGAAACATTGACCAGCTGCCTCCTGTACAACCCCTACCAGGGATGTGCCCACAACCAATGTGCATGCCCTTGACTGGAATCGAACCTGGGACCTTTCAGTCCACAGACCGATGCTCTATCCACTGAGCCAAACCAGTTTCGGCAGCACTCGCTGACTCTTACTCTCACACCGAAGCTCAGTGCAGGGGAAGATCTTAAGAGGAGACCTGGACTGTGGCAGTGAGTCTGCCATGTTCCAGCTGGATGGCATGAGGAGGTGCTTTAACCTCCTTGCTCTCCTGGCATAAATGACTGAAGGCAGCAGGCTGGCTTGAGCCTCTCAAGGTGCCTTCTATTTCTAATGCCTATGAACCAAGCACTTAGTTTAATTTGTTACTGCCCTCATCCTCCCAAGAAAAAAAGGGAAGTACCAATAAGTGGTCACTCAAGTCCCACGAGGAAAAGATTACACTAATGGAAAAGCTGCTGCAAATTAGACCAGATGACCCCCAACCCTGGCATTTCTTAAGTATATCACTTTTATAATACTTAGAAACGATGGCATGACAGAAGGGGTGTGGGATCATGTAACAGGTACCTTCAAAAACATAATATTGAAGAAGAAAGGAAGTTGAAAAATATGTATAATATAATAGCATGAGGTAAAATGTAAAGTATGCAAAGCATAACTAGGTATTGTTTTGATAACCTACATGTGTAGGAAGTATAAAAATGGCATCCAGAAAAGTACATACCAGATTCTTGATAGTAGTTGTCTCTGAGGAAGGAAGGTAAGGAGATGGATCTGTGGAGAGAGACAGGAGGACTTCAACATTATTCATAATATTTTATTTTTTTGTGAAAAATGTCATTAAAAGTTGTTAATGTTTGTTAATTATGGCTATTGGATGCAATGAGTGCTGTGCTGGAGCTGGAGTGGGTCATGTGCACCTCTCCCCGATTTCCCATGCTGTCACCATGATAGCTTGAAATTGATAGTGAAAGTGTTTACACCACAGAAGCAGCAAGTGCTACAAATCAGAGCCTTTTCTTTCCCCTCTGAAGGGTATGTTGTTCACACTGACCAGCACACCAATAGGTACAATGCATCTATTAAATTGATCTTTGCACTTTTTAATGCTTTGTGTATGATATAACACTTTCCTAAAGAATAACTAATTTCTATAAAGATAATTAGCAAAGATTTTGAAGAATATTTTTAATTTTTGACTCAGGAATTATATCATTAAGATTTATCCCAAAGGAGGGAGCAATATATGCAAAGATTTACTATGATGATGATCCTATGATGATGGAAGAATTGCAGACCATCCAAAAATTTAGCAGTGATAGAATAGATGAAATAAATTTGATTATAGTGATATAAAGCTATCTAGCCATAAAACATTACATATTTGAGGAAAATGTAATGACATGGAAATGAATTAGTGATAGAGTTTTAAGTGGAAAAGCTGGTTTAAACAGTGCATATCCTATCCTATCTAATAAGAGTAATATGCAAATTGACCATCACTCCAACACACAAGATGACTGCCCCCATGTGGACACAAGATGGCTGCCACAAGATGAACAGCAGGGGAGGGCAGTTGGGAGGAACCAGGCTTGCAAGGGAGGGCAGTTGGTGACCAGGCCAGCAGAGGAGGGAAATTGGGGTTGACTAGGCCTATAAGGAAGGGCAGTTGTGGGGGACCCAGGCCTGTAGGAGAGGGCAGTTGCGGGGGACCAGGCCTGCATGGGAGGGCAGTTAGGGATGACTAGGCCTGCAGGGGAGAGAAGTAAGGGGCAGTCAGGCTGGCAAGGGAGCAGTTAGGCATCAATCAGGCTGGCAGGGGAGTGGTTAGGGGCAATCAGGAAGGCAGGCAGGGGAGCAGTTGGAAGCCAGCAGTCCTGGATTGTGAGAGGGATGTCTGACAGCTCATTTAGGCCTGATCCTACTAGGTTCTCCTAAGACCAAATCAGAATTACAACTAAATTATAAGACAACCAACCTGGAAAACCAACTGAAGACTAGCTGAGCAAAAGTCTTATAACTAAGAATATATGTAGAAGAAGCCATGCCAAGACTGGTAGGAAGGGTGGAGACATTAAAAGTGCTGATCGCAGCCAAAACCGTTTGGCTCAGTGGTAGAGCGTCGGTCTGTGGACTGAAAGGTCCCAGGTTTGATTCTGGTCAAGGGCACGTACATTGGTTGCGGGCACATCCCCGGTAGGGGGTGTGCAAGAGGCAGCTGGTCGATGTTTCTCTCATCGATGTTTCTAGCTCTCTCTCTCTCCCTTCTGGTGCTTGGGTTCCTGCCCAGATGTCTTGTTCCTTTAGATAACTGTTCCATTTTATTCCATTTGCTCAAATAAAATGCTATGAGTTTTCCATATACAGTGCTATGGCTAAGAATGAAGCAGACACATCAAACCCAAAAGAAAAACCAACACATTTGTGTTTTTCTATGTTGAATGCAAGCTTTGGAAATGGGGAATTTCCTCCCTAATGTTTCCGTGAAAGCATCTCTGCCTGCAAACTCCAGCTTGTACATTTATAATAAGAGAAATCTGAATGTACCTTTACTAAAACAGACCACAAGTACACTGAAACGACTCAAAAACCGTGGTGAAATTAGACAAGCATTTTTGACAGTCTAAATTTTAACTTTTACTTTAAGTACACTTTTATGGAATCAAAACAATAGGAAAATACATCCTACAATTTCTTTCAGTGAATTGGAGGACAATTCCTAGGTCTCTAGAAGGTTTTGGTGCAATCAATGGCAGCAATGGCTGTGAGGAGACTGACATCCGGCATCACCGACAAACTCCAGTGGGCACATTGGATGTGCCTGGTTCTACTCCTGGCACAGGCTTTCTTGAGGCTTGGGCCAAGTCCCTTCCTGCCGCTGGACTTCATTTCCTCATCCTCAAAATGAGTAGGTCCCTAGGGGATCTCTAGGCCTTTCCCAGGTGTTTTTTGTTTGTTTGTTTGTTTGTTTGTTTTAAATAGTGAATGGAAGGCAAGTGGAAAGACAGGGGAACATGGAAACACCTGTGTGAGAGAGACACATCAGTTGGTTGCCTTCTGCGTGGGCTGGCGATCAAGCCTGCACCCGAGGTGCATGCCCTTTACTGGAATCCAACCCGAGACCCTTCAGTCCGAGCACCGATGTGCTATCTATCCACTGAGCCAAACCAGCTAAGGTGCTGTTACTTTATTTGATTCTACTTTTTTTTTCCCCCCCATGAAACTTTTAGATTCACAAATGGACTGTTGAGTCTTTTAGGATTTAGTTTTTTTCCTCCTAATAACATATGTTTTGATCCAAGTCCACTGGAGCTAATTTTATTCATCTTCCTAAAGATGAATGTGCCTTTCTTCTTAAACAGATGAAGGCGGTGTTGATGCTGGAGGGGGAACTGTGGCACCCTATGCAGCCTTTGTCTCAGAGCAATGGTCTGTCCCTGGTTGGTTGCACGTGATGGCAGATCATTCAGTTAAAAAAAATTATGATCCCGTGAGAAGCGAAAGCCTGACTTCCCACCAGGAGGAGAATCACTATTATTCCAGCAGAGCCAACCACTGCCTGGCCTCTTCCTTCCCAGACAGCTTCACTGGCAGATTCAAAGGCAGCATTGAGTTTGGAGGCAGTTAGCAGTATTTGTAGTTTGCCTTCAAGCATAATTTTGCTAAATATAAAGCTCAGAGGCAATCGCAACTAATGTAATTCTGTAAAAAGTATGAAACGCCAGGAAGGAGTGCTGTGAGATTACAGAGGAAAAAGGGAGAACCAGCAAGAAAAGTAAGGTGATTTTTTTAAGAAGAATTTTTAAAAAAGAAATGTAACAGCATGTAAAGTCTGAATGGTGAAAGGTATTCAATTAGCAGTAGAATATAATAGAAAAGCAAGAAGTAAACATAAAAGAAGAAGGAAGAGCTGGTTTGGAGAAGTGGCAATAAACAATAGAAAGTGAAAAGTTACTAGTCTGAATGAAGAACTAGTACTCCAGAAACACAAAGGTTTCAGATGTGGGTTTTTATGTTAAAAATAATTCGTAAGTGCTATTATTCTACTCATCAGTATAGTTGACTTATGTCTATAATACTATGCTGCTTCTCATCTTGGGGGTTATTTAACCCATGCCTATATTGTCACGGCTATTTAAATATGTTGTTAATATACTCTTAAATGGCAGATAGATAAAGAAACAAATGAATAGCCATTAGGAAATATGTACGTATAAATTAATTAGCAGAAGATTCTGATAACTGAGGTGAAATGAAAGACAATGCTTTCACTTTTCTTCAAAATAATACTCTTTGGGTTCATTCAAAAAGAGCATGCAAATTAAATGTAAACAAATTCTTATGGATCACAGATTAGCTACTTGCTTTTATAGCTATAAAATACTTTTCAAATGATAGTCAGTTACACCTTGACTCTTATAGCATTACAACCAGAAATATCTTACAAATAAATACAACCAGCATTAAGAACAGAAGGGTAAAAAGAGGAACAGAAATAAGTCCAATGAGAGGCGTACTCTCCCCATTGTGCAGATGGGAAAACTGATGTGAGGAGCGGTGAACTTAATCGTGCAGAGATGAGCAGCAATTGGGAGCTGGGAGTAGACACCACTCCACCTGTGCTCCTATCAGTTATCCACAAGGAACATTTTAATTGTATTCCTTTAATCTATTGTAGAATAGATCTTGCTGGTGTTTCATTTGTGATGTTTGCAGCTGTCATCAAAAGGGAGAAAGCTGTGCAGCTTTCCTTGCAGACCTGTTTGCTAATCTTGCTGTTTAAACTACCTCTTGTCTCTAGCTGGTACTCAGAACCTCTGACGTCTCCTGAGGTCTTAGCTATCACTTCGTTTGGTCCATTTCAAACACACCACTGAATGCCTGGGCTTGGCACACCATCCCTCTAGCGGGACGTACAAAGGACAGGGGGCTGGAGAGAGAACAGAGCAGATTTTCTGCTTAATTACTAGCTCGTGCTCTCTCTCTCTCTCTCTCTCTCTCTCTCTCTCTCTCTCTCTCTCTCTCTCTCTCTCTCTCTCTCTCTGTGTGTTTTCTATCAGGAATGAAGTACTAGTACGTGTGTTATAAGCAGGTGATAAGAAGGTTCCACTCTCCCTGTTGCTTGAAGCAAGCTCTGTCTGGAGATGGTGTGGGTTCAGACTATATCTTCAAGTTTTCATTTCATCTGATTAGAAACAGCTGGACAATCAGAACAACTGCGTAGCCCCTCCCATGATGAGAGGGAAAGAATGTTTAGTGATATAACCACAAGTTACCATCCTGGCTTGAGTCAGAGAAATAACTTGCATCAGTTCAATGACAAGCCCAAAATTTCAGTCCTTCCAGTATTTATTTTTATGTCTGCTCAAATTACCATTGCCCTGTGCTGCTAACTCCTATCACAGTGCTAATTATTGTAAGGAACATCCTTTTTGCCTTTACAAAGAGGTTTTTTTGTTTTGTTTTTTTTAGTATTCATTTCAATATAATATTCTTAACACCAAAAGTGATTATTTTCACCATTCAGTCAAGGACAGAGGGGAGAGAAGTTTCTCTAAATAGATGGAGGATTAAGATTTTTTTTTTAATTCTTTATTGTTTAAAGTATTACCTAAGTCTCCTTTTTTCCCCATTGACCTCTCCCCAGCCACTCCCACCTCCCAGCACTAGCCCTCACCCCCCTAGTGTCTGTGGCCATTGGTTATGCATATAAGGACTTTGATGTAGACCCAGCCCTAAGAAACACAAGCTGGGAACAAGGGGTGGGGGAGAGC